CGCCGGCGCTGCGCCACACCCCCGAGCCCGGCCCGGCGCTGCTTGGATACGCGCAGCCGGGCCTCTCCGCCCCCATAGGCTGTCCGCCTGTCCTTCTTCCCCGGCCCACTCCTCATTGGCTCGCGTCGCCTCCGGCTTCGGGGGTCCTGGATTCGGATGCCAAGATGCGGGACTGATTGGCTGGAACGTGGCAGGGACGGCTGAGGTCATTCCCCACCGTCGTTCGGCGTCTGCGGGGTGGGCTCCCGGAGTTGGCCTGGGGGCTTCCCCCACCTCCCCGCTCGCCTCCCCCCGCCCCGGGTTCGCAGCGCCTCCCGAGACCCTCGGGTTAAGATTGGGTCACGTTGCCTTCTCTCCCCGCCCCCGCCCCCTGAAATGCTCCTAAAAATTCCTTCGGTGGAAACTGCGCCTGGAAAAGTCAGGGAACTCCTGAACTACTCTCAGCTGGCAAAGGGGCTCCGACATAAACTGGTGCATCAGGATTTTTAACCCTGGCTCTCTGGCTCGCCCATTGTCTGCTGAAGGAGCCAAGAAGGTGAATGCGAAAATCCTATGGAGGCAGATGAACATCATTACACCCGTGACTCATGCAAGCCGCAAAAGTCTTTCCAACACATTTGGCCTCAGTCACCTTCCTCTTCTGCAGGGAGGTAGTCCAAAGGCGGAATTACTTATTACTTACTGGCTTCCCTGGACTTGGAAATGTAGGTAACTTTGCCATCAAGTGTAGGTAAACAGAAAGTTGCCTAAAGCCTACTTTATATATGATCATTTCGATACGGGCACATTATGATTTTTGTTAATTAAAGTACCCTTAATCCTGTAGTGAGTGCATCGCACCAGTTCCTTCTCAGAATATGATGCCTCCTAAATGAGTACCCCACCTCCAGTAAATAAAACCTCCACTGTTGCCTACACCGCAGAAGCTGCACACACAACTTCCAGAACATGCAGTGCTGGTAAAACCAGTTCTAAATCCTTAGCTTCATCTCTTCCCAACGTTTCAAGTAGTTCAGTAGCAACATACAAAGCCAAATAAAAAGATACAAAGTATGCAAAATTTATACCAGAAAAAAAAGCAAACTGCAAGTTACTTTTAACTTTAAAGTAACAGTAAACCCAAATGAGTTTTTCTGCACAGCGGAATGATACCCTCAACCTCAGCATGTACTTCAAAGTACTGGTTTTGTTCTTTGCAAACAAAACTATTTACATATTTAGGGTTTTTTTCCCTCCCCAAAACCACAATAAGAATTGAGATGTGAAGCCTTTGAGTGCTGAGCAGGATGGTAAATCAACAGAAAAAGTCCTCTGGGTTCTGAGCTACCAAACAAGATGAAAAATGATGAATGTGTTTCTTTCCATAAATATAAATGCCACGTTATTTTTTTAAGTACAGCTTATTTTTAATTCGTGCCAACTATGGATTAGATCACAAGGCAGTCAGTTCCAGTAGCATGTGATCAGTTACGGAGGGGAGAAGAGGGGCTACAAAGGGATATTTCTTTGTTTGGGTGACAAAGATGAATGGTCTATTGTCTTACTATGGGGAAAGAAGCTAACTCAACAGTGCCACCTGCTGGAGAAACCACCAGATACATCTTTTAGCTATTTGGTACAATTATTTAGGTTTTTGTCGGATTATTGGAGGAATGGAGGGTGTCTGTTTTTGAAGTCCAAGGTGGTTTCAAATCTTTGATCCTCCTTCCTCAGCCTCCCAAGTTCTGGGACTTCAAACATGTGCTACCTACCACTCCTGGATCAACCTTCACTTTTTAATATGTTGTTTTTAGTTATATAATTAACAGTACACTGGATTCCCTCAAACTGTCGACATGTAACTTGCTCATGTACTGATAGTTTTTTTTCTTTTTGCAACAAGGGGTATTAAACCCAGGATCTTACCCATATTGGACAACTGCTGTACCTCTGAGGTAGAAAATACTACACATGAGATCTTACTTTATTCCCAGGAGTATGTAAATTTTGCAAACATGTAAAGTTAGAAAAACTATACTTTCCCCAAATTTATTTGTAGCAAACATATTAATAGGAAGTTATCACAAAGCCATTCCTTTTCCCAGTAAGGTCATTTCTCGGATACAAGCAACCTCAACATTCTTAAGACAATTAAAATTGTTCTCTCTGAACAATGCACATTGTAATTATAGCTGGCATGGCATTTACTCTTTTCTCAGTTATAAAGTGCAGACACCCTGCCTTGGAAATGGAAGAACTGTTAGCTGGGAGAACTACACTGTTTTTCCTTAGCTTCTTTTCCTCTATATATTCATGATTGATGCATCTCTCACATCTTCAAAATGATATATTCGTTTCCACTTCTGCAGTAATCAGTGTTAAACGGCCTACTGGGGCCGGAGAGATGGCTGTTAGGAGCACTGGCTGCTCTTGCAGAGACCTAGGTTTAGATCCCAGCACTCACGTGCAGCTCACAGCCACCTGTAACTCAGGTCCAGGGGATCCAGTGCCCTCTTCAGGTCTTCTTAGGCTCCTCACATATCCTCAGGCTCACACACACAAATGAAAAGGGAGTATTGCCTCTTTTCCCACTAGATGTAATTTTCCTAGACCGTATGGAGACCACAGATGGCATTTTCACAGATCTATCCCCAGTGCATTACTTAACATATAGTAGACAGCGTCCCAATAAATTTCTTAAACGAGTAAGTGGATGCAGGATTTTTTAAAATGTTCTTTATTAATTGAATTTATTCATTTATTTCACATCTGGACCCAGTTTCCTCCCCCCTCTCCTCCCACTCCCTTACCTCACCCTCCTCTGATACAGGATTCTTCATGGTATCTTCTACAATTTAATACAACAGTGTCCAGGGGCTAAACGGATCTCACACCATACTTTATAACAATTAACATCACTAGAAATCGGTGCAATGTTGATAATAAACCTAGTTCTCTATTTTCATTGTGTGTGTACACATGGGGCAAAACTTCCTCCTTCCTGTGAACTGCAGTTTTCAAATGTACATCAGCACAAGCTACTTTTCACTCCACTATGAATTTTGTATGACTTCAGCTACCCAAATAGTTACTACTGAACAACAAAGTACAGCTTCCTAATGAAACAGTACACACACCCAGCAAATAATTCTTATGCTATCAGTGAACTGCATTGATTCTTTACCACCCTTAAGTACTAACCATGCTTCAGACAGTGCAAACACATCTCAAACTGCCTGATACTCAAGACTTGAAACCTTAAAAATCTCAGATCAAATCTCAACAGGATTTTTATTGTTAATTTAAAACAATTTGTTTTTGGTTTTTCGAGACAGTTTCCCTCTGTAGCCCTGGCTGTCCTGGCACTTACAATTTTTAATTTTTAGAATGTGTATGGATGCTTTGTCTGCATGTCTGTGCCTTACATGTATGCCTGGTGCCTGAGGAAGCCAGAGAAGGGGGTTGGAGGCCCTGGGACTGGAGTTATGGATGATTGTGAGCTGCCATGTGGGTGGTGGGAACCAAACCTGGGTCCCCTGAAAGAGCACTTAGTGATGTTAACCACTGAGCCACCCCTCCAGCCCAACGGTTGAATTTCTATGTCCATTGGCATAGCCTTAGGTTCCTCATCTGTTAGAAGTGTTCCTATGGTCATTTCCGAGGCTAGAACGGAATGCCTGTTAATTTTATCGGATCACGTGAGAGCAGCGCCAGTGGAGGAAGGTCATAGTGCATTCCAAAGTCTAACTGAAACTACTTCTGAATTTTAGTTTCTTACTTATACAGTCAGGTACATAACTCTCATTGCTACTGAGGTCAAGACCATTTCTTTGTCTTTTGTTTTTTTCATAGTCCTTAACTTCATAAAAAGGGTACCCTTTCCAGACTGGCCATCAAGATACAGAGAAAAGGCCGGGCAGTGGTGGCACACGCCTTTAAACCCAGCACTTGGGAGGCAGAGGCAGGCGGATCTTTGTGAGTTCAAGGCCAGCCTGGTCTACAGAGTGAGATCCAGGAAAGGTGCAAAGCTACACAGAGAAACCCTGTCTCGAAAAACAAAAAAAAGAAAAAAACAAAGATACAGAGAAAAGCTATAGCTTTAGGGATGACTTATCCTAACTCATCAGTGTTTTGGGGAGGCCCCCAGGACAGTCTTCTGGTGGCCAAAGAGCAGTGTGTTCATAGAAAGGAAGCAACAGGAGTGTGTTTCCTCCAGAGACACCCCGAGACTACAATGGACTGACAGTGGCATTAACATGCACTAACCACTGGGAGGTGCTGGCCTAACCTGAATTCATCGCTAGCACCAACCGCTGGAGCTGCCTGTTACAGAGAACCACTGCACTCATTTTAGAACAGTCATGCTCACAAACCAGGGGTACTAATCACTGGCCTACCAACCTAAGCACTTAAAATTATAGAGCAGACTATGAACAAATATTTTAAAATTTTTTATTTCAGAATTGCTGTTATGTACAGACATCATAAAAAAACACACATATACTGAATATTTTCCATGACTTAAGAGCTGGAAATCAAGTTTAAGGGCGATTAGGAGAACTGAAAGTGTCCCACAGATGTCTGAGGATGGCTCCTCCTTAAATGTCCTTGATCACCTCCTCCAGTTCCTCCTTTGTGAACATGTGGAAATTCTGGCCGGGCTGCACCGTGGCGAGCTGCAGACAAACAGAAAGTCTAGTAAGCTGGGCTGGGCTCCTCTCTGATGCCCTGGCTCGGTCAGATGCCGGTGAGGCAGCTGTTCTTAGGAACTAGGAGCTGCTGTCCTGGGGTGTCCTTTACAGGAGCAGGTCCCTAAAATAACTGACTCCAAAATAAAAATTCGTATTGACCAATTTTTCTATTTTGAGGTTAATCCACCACCTAACAGTTACCCAAACTGACACCACTGTTCCCTCTTGAAGTTACTTCAGTGACATTACAAAAGTAGCGGCAAAGTACACAGAGCCAGGCCTAGAGGTGGTGGTGCACGCCTTTAATCCCAGCACTCCAGACACAGAGGCAGGTGGATCTCTGAGTTCGAGGCCAGCCTGGTCTACAGAGCAAGTTCCAGGACAGGCACCAAAGCTACACAGAGAACCCCTGTCTCAAAACCCCTCCGCAACTCCCCACAAAACCCAAACCACACAGCACCAGTACATTTGCTTTCAGCTAGATTCCTTCAGGAATGAATGAATATGTATGTATGTGTTATTCATTATATATAGGAATATGTAATTTGGTTCTTTTTAAAGATTTATTTATGTATTTTATGTATATGAGTGCTCTGTCTGCAGGCATGCCTGCAAGCCAGAAGAGGACATTGGATCCCACTACAGATGGGTGTGAGATGCCATGTGGGTGTGGAAATTGAACCCGGGTCCTCTGGAAGAGCAGTGCTCTTAACTGCTGAGCCATCTCTCCAGCCCCTAGGAGTATATTTAAAGTACAGTCCGGCCCACAAGATAGCTTGGGAGTGAAGACACCTGTCACCCAGCCTGACTACTGCCTGAGTCTCACCCTCAGATCCTGCTGTGGAAGGACAGACTGACTGTAAAAGTTCTCTGACCTCTACAAATGTACCATGCTATGTCTGCCTGCCTTTGCACATACTACACATAGAAAATAAAATGTGCACGCGCGCGCGCGCGCGCACACACACACACACACACACACACACACACACACACACGAATGTAGGAATCAAACTTAGGGTCCAACATGCTCTAGGCAAGTGCCCTAACACTGAACTATTTCAGCCCCAAAGAAATACATTTAAGGCATATTTGTAAACTCCAAAGTGAACTTGTGTGACATTGGAATACCAGGCCAGCCCGTGTCTCTATGTTCTCACCTGTAAAATGGGAACACTAAATATCCATAGAGTAGCAGTGAGGATTAAATGTTAATCCATGCAAAGTGTTTAGAATGTTAGAAAGGACCAAACAGCTGTTAGCTATCATTGTTAGATATTTTCTCTAGAGCTGCCTCTGTGGAGAAGGTTGTTTAAGGGGATAAGAAGATCCAGCAGCACTGCAATGGGAGATCATTCTGAGATGGGCGATACCAGACTGGCAGTGCAGGCCACACCAAACCCTAACAAGCACTACCCTCCAGATGTAGTGACAGCATCATCTCTGCGCAGCACAAACCCCAGGACGGGGCAGCCCTGACAAACAGGGGCCAGTTCACATTTGTCAGTGCTGAAAGATGGATTTGTTTTTAAAATTTACACCAATGTGTGGGGGCCCCCCCGCATGATTTTATGGGCACATGTGTGTAGGAGCTCGTGGAAGTCAGGTGTCAGATCACCTGGAACTGGAGTTACAGGCAGTCGTAAGCCATCATATGGGTTCTGGGAAACAAGCCTGGGCCCTCTGCAACATCAGTAAGTGCTCTTACCTGCGAGCCATCTTTCCAGGCCTCTGTGCTTGGGTTTTTTGTTTTTTTTTTTTTTTTTTTTTTTTTTTTTTT